ACGCAGTTGACCGTGACGAGCGGAAGGAGTCGAGCAGTCCGAGGCGGGTTGGTTGAGCGTCTCTTCCACCGGAACACGCGATGGCAGCCCGCTTTGAACCATTAGAAGCAGTAGTAGCGAAGGGCTAAATTTAGCCTCTAGTTCCGCTGACGGCATTTTGTTGAGGCCTATATAAGGAGAGATGAGACGAGCGAGGACGCCGTTTAGTCGCTTGTCGTTTGCGATGAGCTCGCGACATCTTGTTCTTTGTTTTTGTCCATTACATTTTTATCCCTAAGATGTAAGTTCTTCGAATTCTTTTGGTTCATGGCTTTCCACAGCACTTGTGGAATGCTTCGTTATGCCCCTGCATGCCTACTTTGTATTGAGGGATTGAAACCTGTTCACGTTCATTTTCAGCTCAAGCAAGGCTAAAAATGGAGACGTTACTGCTTTTCGTCGTTATTTCCACGATCGCTCTTTCTGCGGGATTCGCCTATGATGATGAACGTAACACAGGTGACAGCTGTTTTGAATACGTAGAGCAAAGTAAACATTGAACGCGTAGATGGCTTGGGAACGAAGGGATTCTCCATCGCGGGTACCCCCCAGGAGGCCCGTCGCGCGGCAAGAAGGCAAAGTCAGCGGACGAGTCGCGCGCGTACTATAGGGATTTTCGCGTCAAGTTAAATAGTGTCCCACTGCACGTCCTACATCGCACACCACGCGCTGCAACTCGTCCGCCGACTCTGCCTTCTTGCCGCGCGACGGGCCTCCTGGGGGGTACCCTCCATCGCAGTTATTCTTTCGGGATCGCAATTCTGCGTTAATACACCGCTGAAATCGTTCAACATACGCTTGGTAGGATAGAAAGTGCAATTTCAATGAATCCTCATGGGAAATTAAATATTCAACGAGTATGGGTTAGGGTTTTATGAGCGGCCTCCTCTGGGGAGCATCACTGTGAAGCTGGTGTCTGACTTTGCGATCGAGCGATTCGCTCGATTCGTAGTCTGTCACCAGCTTAAGTGTGAACGGTTGCGTGTTCGACCAGAGCTACGGCACCATCCGGAGGGAGGATTGCGGACAACTCCATATTTTTTGAAGAAGCATATCAGATCAGGAACTTTTTCCGAGCGGCATGAGGTCAGCACACGTCATTTTCACCCAAAAATTAATGTCATAACCCCAGTGAAGGATCCTCCTGTGAGCTAGAGAACGAAATGAAGCATCACCGCACTTGCGAAGCACTTACCCTGCGGCATTATTATTGTGTAATACATCAAGAGAGACTCTATACAGAATATTTCCTCACCACTAGAGTTGAGCAGATACCCACGACTAAGTAACGAAAGTATAGATCCTTTTTTTTTCAGTTCGCCAAAATGCTTTAGTTCGGACGACACCGCTCGTATTGATCGATACTCCGTAAGGCTCATGTTCATACCTTAGCATTATCCTTCGAATAACTCCTTACAAAAGTCGTTCATTCGAAACGAAACCCTGTATTGATATCAGTGTCGAAAACTATAAAGTATATACATTTTGAATTACAACACTCGAAACAGACTTTTTCTTGATCTTCACTACGAACCAACTACGTATACGTACACCCCTGGATCTACCGTCGATGCCCGCCAAAAACATGGCGTCCCGCCGAAATCGGGGGACTGGCAGAAAGTGAGAGAGACTGTGGACACTGCGGAGGAAGCGGACTGCCAAACGAGGGATCGGCGATAACCTTCGATCGTAGATCAAAATGAACTACCACAAACACATCTGGGTATTGACAGCCAAGATCAAAGGGAAATTCGGATTAAGGTTTATCGTACAAAGTGTACATCATTGCGTAGAGTTTTCGACGCTTATTCCATGTACGAAAACAATTTTCAAATTTGTGAACTGAAGGAGAAGTGCGGCGTTTTTTGTTGCTTCAGCTTCACATGAGCTGTATTACTGTGTCGACTCGCGGGAAATATGGAGTCCCAGGCGTTGTGTAAAGATGGTGGCTGCGGTAAAAACGGGTGCAAATTCCCTCACTTAAGTTTTAGCGAAATTTGTGTAAAAGGGTGGCGCCAAATTGGCGCAGACTGGTGCCAAATTGCGTCAGCGTCGAAGTCAATCCAAAGCTTCCCTGCAGTCGGACCAATCATAACAAGGCTCATGTGAAACCTAGTCAATGAAACACGCCGCACTTCTCCTTCAGTTCACAAATTTGAAAATTGTTTTCGTACATGGAATAAGCGTCGAAAACTACGCAATGATGTACACTTTGTACGATAAACCTTAATCCGAATTTCCCTTTGATCTGGCTGTCAATACCCAGATGTGTCTTGGGGTAGTTCATTTTGATCTACGATCGAAGGTTATCGCCGATCCCTCGTTTGGCAGTCCGCTTCCTCCGCAGTGTCCACAGTCTCTCACTTCCTGCCAGTCCCCCGATTTTCGCGGGACGCATGTTTTTGCGCCACATTGACGGTAGATCAAGCGTTACCGTATAGCATGTTGTGATGAGCGAAGATCCAAGGCGAAGTTTGTGTGAGATTTGTAATTCAAAATGTATGTGATTCTATGGTGTTTTGACGCTGATACCGAATACAGGGGCTTTATCCGAATGAACGAGTTTGAAAGGAGTTATTCCGAGGATAATGCCATGGTATGAGCATGAGCCCTACGGAGAATCGATCAATACCAGTGGTGTATGTCTTAACCGAAGCGTTTGGCGATCCGAAAAAAAAATGACTTTATACTTTCGAGTAATATAGTACGTGGGTATCCAGAGCTAAACTCCAGTAGTGAGAAAACGTCTGGGTGCTATACAAGTAGGGTGGGCACGCCGCATTTTTTGAACAGAAATGTATGTCAGTGGGACTGCTGCTCGCTATACTGTCACGAGAATCGGGAAATTCGTGAGCCAGGGGAGTGTAGCCAATCTAGGGGGTGGGGGGTGAGGGCAGTCACTTGACATGCGTGAAAAGCTGGGCGTGCCCACCCCTCTTGTATAGAGCCAACTTCTGTTTAGACTCCCCTTGATGCTATTCACAATAACAACGCCGTAGGTAAGTACTTCACAAAGAATGCGTATTGGTCCTTCATTTTCGTTCCCTAGCTGACAGAAGGACCCTCCACTGGCGTCATGACATTGAATTTTTGGTGAAAATGGCGTGTGCTGAGCTCATAACGCTCGAAAAAAATTCGCTGAACTAGTGGCTTGTCCAAAAAAAATGGCTAGTTATCCTCCAGTTCATATTTTTTGCTCCGAGGCGATCTTTTCGTTTACTCCTCAGAATAACAGAAGAAACCGGCGTTGGCCTACTCGACGCCAAATTTTTCACTTGGCATCATCAGCACCTTTTTTACGAGCAACTTATCTACGGCCAGTAATTAGTTCATTCATTAATCCGCGTTTTCCATAACTCCCTTACTGGAACCCTACACCAGGGCTGTTCCACGCAAGTTCTGAACCAGCGGCCCACACTGCCAACCGCCCCAGCCCTCCTTTATGACGGCCCCAGTCCTCCTTTATGGGGGGGCGGGAAGGGTAAATACGACTGAAAGAGCGGAAAATGCTCTAACTATTCATTTCATGCTTCTTTTTTTGGAGTTTGTCACCACAATTATCAAATCCATTCGAAAAGGACACTTTTCTCCCCAGCAACCACAACCCCTTAAACTTCCTACAGGATATGACCCCTCATTTCACTTTCAGCAACCCCCAATTACAATCCTCTCTCAAAATCGCAAATATACCCCGTTTGGAACGCCGGAACGCGGACCGATTGACCCTGGACCGTAACTGATCAATCATGAATTACACTGAGAAGTAAAAAAATTTCAATAACTCAAGCTGCATTGGCGATTCGCTGACATTTAAAATGCTTCTCGATCTGAACTGTGATCATTTTGCAGGAGTAAGCTTGGCTAGCATATAGTTTAGCTATGTTGTTTGTAGGCAAGGAGTTCGAGAAAGTGAGAAAACCATTTCCTACGTCTCTGACTCCCCCCCCCCCCTTCACTTTACGGCTGCAAAATGTTGCGAGGTTTTCGTTTGCAGCCCGTGAAATATAGTTAGGTGAGAGCAGTCCTTCAGTAGAAGTAGTCTTTGTGAGCTGAGCTTCCGGGCAGGCTGTGCTCCGCCTTCTGGCTCTGATAATGTGACGAGCGGTAACGCTTGTGGGCGGTGTAGGACCCTTCAATCGCTCAGTTCCGCTTTAATAATTTCTTTCATCTTTGCGAAGTGTTTAGATCTGGCCAAGGAACGATTCGCTCGTGATCTTGCGAAGCAGAAGTTCGCCTTTGCATTTGCAAAACGCAATCCAGGTAAGCAAGCAGATTTTCTAATCATTGTGGCCTCGTTCGGTTCCCAGATCATTCGCTTTGCAATGCGAAAAACTCCTCAAACTTCTAAGTCCTTGAGATACTTTTCCAGAGAACTACTGGCGGTAAAAATGAACGCTAAAAAGCTGACATACCCTTAAAGAGCTAATGTGAAGTCATCCCGTACATACATCACTACTCCTAGTACAACTACCTGTATTCATGTCGGCGTAGGGCACACTGAGTCGCGAGCGGTTGCAATGCGATATCCGCCTTGAAGTAACTACGACGTAACTGCCATAAACAAAGTTTCTCAGCAAATTTTCGCAGCGCTGATATTAAGCAACAGTGCAACCGCGGATGGTGTTTGAAGGTTTATTGAAGGCAGGTGCATTATAAATAGCGTGGTAAAGAAAATGAACACCATAAAAGGATTGTGTCACCAAAGAAAGGAAACGTAGCGCTTTCGCGAGAGGGGGCTCGTAATAGTCTGGCGAAGCCTGCCCGCCCACCGATTGGCTCCTCAGCTAGTAGCCCCTCGCCGTCGGACTCTAGCAGTTGTAGTAGGGATGCAGAGTAGTGCGTTCACGTTGATGACGTCCGCACGGACGTAATTCCTCAAAGCGGAAATCAGCGGGGGAACAAGAGTCTCGCTTTGCAGGTTTCAGACCATTTTTGCATAGTTTTCTTCACCACTGCGCCCTTTATCACCTCTACTTTTCGTTTCGATTAGAAACAAGCTTTTCGTGCCACCCAACTTTACGACGGAGAAAACTTGAGGAGACATCCTGAACAACATAAATTTATATCATATATTTCTCATGTGTGGGACAGGAGATCCCGGGCGCGATAGCGCGTCAAATCAGGACCACCGCGCGCGGCAGTGTGGTGATTCATCTCTGCTGCTGATCGTGTTGAGTTTCGAAGGAAGGCTGAACGGCTTCCTTGGATTCCATCTCTGGAAAAATT